ACATTTGAGACATACTCGATTTTTATTTAGATCTTTGATGAGAGATCCTATATGTAATGCTACAGTGGTAGCCTCTCAATAAATCATTTGAAACTCAATTATGATATTATCGGTTAGATCAACTAAAAATATATGACATCGAAAGCACGTATGTTATAGTATAGCATACGGTCATGCACATCAAAAGTGTATCAGCAGCTCGATTTACTCTTCGTGTATCCAGTAGCCCTGATTCTGCTTACGGGGTCTCGCTATCGTTGACATAGCATCGAGTCGTTGCGCTCAACTATCTTTCCTAGAATGGATCCCTTTTAGGTAGTCGCTTGTGCGCTGTCCGACTGAACCGGACAGTAAGTATACATCCTCTTACAGTTAACATTAAACTCGTCAGATTTTTCAGGAGTTGATCTTTTACCAGGAGACACGCTTACTGACTTAGAATATGCTGATGACATTTCTATTTTATAAAGATGCTGACAACATGCAGAGTCTTATAACCAACCTAAGCAAAAATGCAAGCATGTTCGGGATGCGGTTTTCCCCTTCAAAATGCAAAATGTTGTTTCAAGAATGGCTTGCGTTGAAACCTGAACTAGTGATAGGGATTGAAGTAGTCGAACTTATAGATCGCTTCATGTATCTGGGGAGTCTCATCAGTGCTGAGGGCCTGGTGTGTGACGAAATCTCAGCACGGATTCAGAAGGCTCGATTGGCTTTTGCTAACCTGCGTCACTTATGGAGCAGGCGAGATATCCGCTTGTTAACCAAAGGAGGAGTGTACTGCTCTGCAGTCCGCTCCGTCCTACCATACGGATGCGAAACATGGCCGTTAACAGTGGAGGACATTCGTAGATTGCTTGTCTTCGACCGTAGGTGTCTCCGAAGAATCGCTCGTTCATTCCGGGACAATCGAGTAGGCAATGCTGTCGATAGAAAACGATTACTATGTAGGGATGACATATCAATAGATGGAGTATTGAAACTTTATCGGTTGTGTTACATATACCTAACCACCGACTGCTTTGACAAGCTATGTTTTGTGCAGTGGGAGCAGGTTGAAAGAAAGCTAGGGGCGGCCAGACCAAAACATGGCACAAATCGATGGAATCATTGACAAGTGGACTGAGTCATGTTGGTAGACGTAGGTTACTTGGTTGGTGTCTGCGAGACGAAAGTCACCAATGGTTAGAGACCTTGAACGATATGGCTCAAAATCGTTTGTAATGCCGCAGGTGCATCCACTCTTTGTGTTCTCTCAAATTCTAACTTAACGAATTCCTCACCATCTCTATCTTCCTCTCTCTCTAACTTTCTATCACAGAATTATACTTCTCGAATGATATCTTCGAACCATAATCTTCTCAATTATCGCTAATTCTTATACTATCGTTACCACTATGGACTTGGAACTGACAGTTGCCTCTCAATGCTAATGCCGTATGGCAACCTGAACTGATGTACATCTATCTTCCTAAACCCAGCTGTTCATATTGCTTAGTAGTTTCTGACAACAATGGACTCGACAAGTCCCAAATCGTTTTCATAATCCAGTCGATCACCAGGAGAAAGAGAAAGGGTGAGAGTAAGCAACCTTGCCTCACACCATTCTTCACCTCGAAAGAGTCTGTCAGCTATCCTCCGTGCACGATTTTGCAGTTGAATCCATCATAAGAATTCCGTATGATGTTAACTATTTTCTCAGGCACACCGTAGTTTCGAAGAAGCCTCCACAGTGTTTTTTTTATCCACGCTATCAAATGCTTTCTCGAAGTCGATGAAGTTGATGTAGGGTGGTGAGTTCCATTCAATCGATTGTTCCACAATGATCCGTAATGTTGCGACTTGGTCAGTACACGACCGATCCTTACGAAATCCAGCCTGTTGATCTCGAAGTTGGGCGTCTACGAAGTCCTTCATTCTGTTAAACAATACTCTGTTGAAGACTTTGCCTGGTATTGAAAGAAGAGTGATGCCTCTGTAGTTCTCACACTTGCTGAGATCGCCTTTCTTTGGTATTTTGATCAGGTATCCTTCTTTCCAATCTGATGGAACTTGTTCCTCATCCCAAATCTTCTTGTAGAGAATGTGAAATATTTTCGCAGTTGCTTCTACATCTGCTTTCATTGCCTCTGTTGGAATGTTGTCTGGTCATGCTGCTTTGCCGCTCTTGATTTGTCTGATGGCCATACTGATCTCTTCAATCGTAGGTGCGCCAATATTAATTGGGAGGTCCGTGGATGCTGCTTCGAAGTTGGGTGTGTTCAGCGGAGCTGGTCGATTCAGTTCTTGAAAGTGCTCTACCCACCTATTTCGCTGTTCTTCAGTGTTGCTGATTACTTACTTTTCACTGGTCGTTCTGGTTTACGATAGTTTCCGGCCAGCTTCTTTGTTGTTTCGTACAATTGTCTCAAATTTCCGTCTCTTGCAGCCTTTTCTGCCGTCATTGCTAGATCTTCCACATATTTTCGTTTGTCAGCTCTGATGCTCTTCTTCACTTCCCTGTTTGCATCCGTGTATTCAGCTTGTGCCTTAACTTTCTCTGCTCTTCTTCGGCTGACATTCACTGCTGCCTTCTTGTTCCTCCTTTCTTCAATTTTTGCGAGAGTATCAACAGAGATCCATTCCTTATGATGGTACTTCTTGTGACCCAGAACTTCGTGACATGCTGAAGTGAGTGCCTCCTTAATCCCTTTCCAATTGTTCTCCAATGTTGCTTCCTCTCCATTGAGTATATCGTGCAGGGCCTGGAACCTATTGCTGAGGGCTATCCTGAATTCGTTGAGCTTTACAGTATCCCGAAGAAAGGCCGTATTAAACTTCTGTGATGTTGTCTGTCCCGTTGTCCAGTGCTTCTTTAGTTTCAGTTTCATTTTGACGATCAGCAAGTGGTGATCCGATGCTATATCAGCTCCTCTCCTGGTTCTCCCATAAGAATCGTCAAATCCTTTGGTGAACATTTCTCGACGATTGACTGCAGCCTTTCGGAGAACTGATCTTTAACGTCGTCATTGTAGCCATTGGTAGGTGCATAACATTGGATGACGTTGATTGTAACGTCCTCTTTCTTCGTTTTGAAGGATGCTTTATTGATCCTGGGTCCATGAGATTCCCATCCTATCAGTGCCTTTTGTGCATGTTTGGACAGCATCAGTGCAACTCCTTGTGTATGTGAAGCATTTTCCTCTTCATGACCAGAGTATAACAGCAGTTCTCCTGAAGCTAGTCTCAGTTGTCCTACCTGTGTCCAATGCGTTTCACTGATACCGAGCACCTCGAGGTTGTATCTTTTCATTTCTGCCGCAACTTGAAATAGTCTTCCAGTCTCCCACAATGTACGAACGTTCCATGTACCTAAAAGAATGGTTGCTCTCGTTGTCAGAAGAGGCATCGGCCCCGTGACTTCCGAGGGAACTCGGCTTTCATCACGCGACGTCATATTTCTTCTTCCAACTCCCAAGGCGGAGTTAAAATCGTTTGAATTATTTTTTCTGGTTTGCTTTTTTGGCAAGTTAGATATCGACGGAATGGGGTTGCGAAACCCATGTCCGGCCCTCCCCCTTTATCGGGGCTTAGGACCGGCAATAATGAGCAACATTTGTAAACATGTGATATTTTTACGGAATGTCAATACCTCCTGACTGTTTATATTCAAATAAACGACCACCAGATAAGGCTTTCAAATTTCGACCACTAATTCTCTGGTTTAAACTGTGCTTTGCTCACTTCGGTTTGGCAAATCAAGTAGTGGTATCGTGTTGTACACTACTCACAACGTGTCTTGCGAGTAGTATGCATTGGCATGTCGCCCTGAAGTTACCGTCCAACCGGAGTTTACGATCCGGATGTATGGCGCGATGAGAGCGTCTTGAAGACTAGGAGATATATGGTTGTTTTACAAACGGACGTTCGAAGATAAGGTGTAAACACTTGACTAGTGAACTGTCTTCTAACACTGAATTGATTGTGTCTCGTATGGTCTTACGTATTCGTTCATTACAGTATCAGTAGAGGGTGGGTCGAAACCAAGTACAAGAATTCAAATCAAGTAAATTAGTTAGATGTGAATTAGGAAGGATAAGGTAGCAGCTATCAGAATCTGAATACCTACATTAATCGAACTCACACATACGGATGCACAAAAAAGCGTAAACAGTAAATTTCTGTTTAAAATAAACAAAACCAATGACGAATGTATTGCGAACTAACTATGAACTCACTTCAGTAGATATTCTTGGATCATAATTAAAAAATCGACCAAGTTCAATATTGATCAACCTGCTTTCTATATCATCTATTCTATCAGTTATTCGTGACAATGTTTTATGGTAATTATTAACTTGATCATTATCACCGCACTTTTCAGGATATTGTTTATTATTGAGTTCATCCAGGAAATTTTTCGTAAGTGCAGCAACAATCAATGTCATTTTAATTTTTTCTAACGCGAATCCGAACGAATAAAATTGATCATTTGTAAGTAACACTTCATAGCCGAGTTTTTCTTGCGCTATACGACAAAAGACGTCCATGAATGTCTCATCTGGTATGTCTGTAGATACATCACATAAACATCACATACAGTAAATCAGGAAGAATGAAGTTAAGCGATAATTACAGTTAATAAATACTTGCTTAAGTCAAATATATCATTTTTCAAATGCAGACCTATTTCGTTGGTTACAACCTGCTTACACTGGGCCTAGCCATACCATTTATCTCCTTAAAAACAAAGTTGTTTTAGATTCTTAAACCTTATAATTGAAAAATAAATTTATAAGGTTTAAGAATCTAAAACAACTTTGTTTTTAAGGAGATAAATGGTATGGCTAGGCCCAGTGTAAGCAGGTTGTAACCAACGAAATAGGTCTGCATTTGAAAAATGATATATTTGACTTAAGCAAGTATTTATTAACTGTAATTATCGCTTAACTTCATTCTTCCTGATTTACTGTATGTGATGTTTATGTGATGTATCTACAGACATACCAGATGAGACATTCATGGACGTCTTTTGTCGTATAGTTCGAGAAAAACTCGGCTATGAAGTGTTACTTACAAATGATCAATTTTATTCGTTCGGATCCGCGTTAGAAAAAATTAACATGGCATTGATTGTTGCTGCACTTACGAAAAATTTCCTGGATGAACTCAATAATAAACAATATCCTGAAAAGCGCGGTGATAATGATCAAGTTAATAATTACCATAAAACATTGTCACGAATAACTGATAGAATAGATGACATAGAAAGCAGGTTGATCAATATTGAACTTGGTCGATTTTTTAATTATGATCCAAGAATATATACTGAAGTGAGTTCATAGTTAGTTCGCAATACATTCGTCATTGGTTTTGTTTATTTTAAACAGAAATTTACTGTTTACGCTTTTTTGTGCATCCGTATGTGTGAGTTGGATTAATGTAGGTATTCAGATTCTGATAGCTGCTACCTTATCCTTCCTAATTCACATCTAACTAATTTACTTGATTTGAATTCTTGTACTTGGTTTCGACCCACCCTCTACTGATACTGTAATGAACGAATACGTAAGACCATACGAGACACAATCAATTCAGTGTTAGAAGACAGTTCACTAGTCAAGTGTTTACACCTTATCTTCGAACGTCCGTTTGTAAAACAACCATATATCTCCTAGTCTTCAAGACGCTCTCATCGCGCCATACATCCGGATCGTAAAATCCGGTTGGACGGTAACGGTATTGACATTCCGTAAAAATATCACATGTTTACAAATGTTGCTCATTATCTGTCAGTGGGACATGGATCTAAAGCATGAATGAGTTAGCTGCTCGCTGATTGGCAAACTTGAGAATGTCCAAGTGACTACACCATAATCCATAAATGAATTGCTCGAATTTACTTGGGGAGTAACAGTTGATCTAACACTTGTAAACAATTTCGTGAGATTGATTAGGGCTTGTAAGGATTGTTGTTGCGTATTCTGATGATAAAGCTCAAAACTCACAATATTTCATATTTTCATGCACAAAAGTAATTTTCAGTTAAATTGGACTGCAGCTGCTACCTCGACGTGGTGGACGCGCTCGCCTATCATGATTGCCCAACCAAGCTATATTGGCTGGATCATATGTTCCTGAAGGTTCTGCCATGCCAGGCAGGTCGATTGGAGAATGATGAGACTAGAAGTTTGAATAGAGAAATAAGAAGACATATTTTGTGAGATAGTACCATTTCGTGCGTTCTCGTCAGTCACATACAAGCAACATGTTATTTGTGTAAATACAGTTTTGAAGATAAGGTCAAAATTTCTTATTTAGCATGACATTCACTCACTAGAACCATGGTAAACAAAGGTCAACATACAGTTGTTTTTGAACACATAAAGTCGGACTTTTCCGACCAATCAAGATAGCTTCGAGTAGTTTCAGTGTGTGTGGGTTTTGATTACATGTCACAACTCTAAAGGCTGATTTTGGGTCAATTTGATGACCACTCATCATTAGATGTTTTGCAATGGACGAGGTTAGGTTTCTTGATCGGAAAAAGTTCTGAGTGCGACGCCGTACAGCTCACTGCAGACGGGTGTGACAGCACTAAGATGTTTCTTTCGGACAACCAGCAGCTGCAGTGATGTTGCCTTCTCGAGGGAGGAAGGGTTAGAAAAGGTCGACCTGAAAATGTCACACCCCACCTTAACTCACGGATTTCCGTCTCCACCGGTAAGCGTGCTCACTAAGGGCTTTTAAAGGTGGAGCTATTACTCAAAAAAGCCTTCATAAAAAAAGTCGTGCGTGACCGGCCTAAAGCAGTATTCTCTTGGGCTATGCGTTCAAGCTCGATCGTTTATAACCTTGCGCCACTGAAGTAAACGGTATGAGCTAACGAAACATTATTCCTGGTCTCTTGAAACCCCGTACTAAATCATATATTGGAGAATTGATTGTTCGAAACTGGTGACAGTTAGCTAGAACTCTGGAATCCCGGGCGATCGATGTACGTTGCGTCTCCGAAACGCGCATACAAGACACGAGTAAAATCATCTATTTGATCTCACCTAGTGCAGAGAGAGACACAAAAAGGTTTACGCTTCGTGTTTCTGGAAGCCTTGATGCCGCCACTTGCGGCCTCGCCAGCGTAGGTATAGTATCAAGTTATAGGGCAGAACCAGCTCTCTTAGACTGGATCACGGTAGACAGTCACATATGCGCTGTCCGACTAAACGGAACGGTACGGACTAGAAAGGGTCGGTCGTATCTGCCTACGCTCTCACTGACTGCAATTTTATAGAAACCTCTCTAAACTTCTCCAAAATGTTAAGCACTCTGATATAGTAATAATGGCTGGTGACTTTAACACTCAAGTAGGTAGATTCAGCAAAAAGAAAAAACCTCTAAGGGCTCCACTTATTGATAGTAAAGCTAAGAACATATTTCAGGAACAACTAGAAAAACAGTTAGGCAGCCATGTAGTAAGTGCTACCTACCCTGAGGCAGCTTGGAACGATATCAAAAAGGCAGTGATATCTACTAGTAAGGTAAACCATAAGGTTAGTAAGAAACCGTGGATTTCAGTTGCATACACCGAACTGATGGATGCTCGAACACTCATCCCGTCTAGCTCTGAGAACGATGAGGAGCTGGTTTTCGACCTAGACGTGGCTGTATAGACAACATTTTCACACTACGACAGGTCCTGGAACACAGACACAAATTTAGACGTCCTACAATAGTCGTCTTCCTGGACCCGAAGGCGGCATTCGACTCAGTGGATCGTGAGGTTCTGTGGCAGTGTCTGTCATTGAAAGGTGTACCAGAGAAGTACATTAACCTTATACAAGCTCTCTACTCCAAAACTACGGGTCGGGTGAGTGCCTATGGCGAACTATCATCGGAATTTTCTACATCAAGTGGTGTCCGTCAGGGCTGTCCACTTTCCCTGTTCTTGTTTAATTTTGTCATAGACATTCTTCTAGATATAACCTTATCCCCGCCTGAATTTTCAGGAGTCGATTTTCTACTAGGAGCCACGCTTGCTGACTTAGAATATGCCGATGACATAGTCCTATTTGGTGAAGACGCTGACAAACTGCAGAGTCTTCTGACTACCCTGTGGTGGACCAAACGATATATTATTTCAAAATATTAACAAAGTTATTGAATACATTAAGATGTATAGCAAAATATATCAGTTAAATGTTATGAACACAATAAAAATGCACGGACGTTACTTAATGCGGCAGCTTGTAGGTGTTCGGTTGCGTTTGGTACCAAAAATCCACAATCATGGAAGATTAATAATCCCAGTGATATAATCCGTCGTAGAATAGGATATGAATACGACTGTAGTCTATAAATGTAGACAATATATGTATTAGAGTCCAGATAACATGTTAATGAGCAATGGAGAACACGGAATATGTGTATAAAGTGTATTGGTTAACAATATCGCTTCTACTATCTCTATCACTGTGGGATTTGAATTGAGAATTGCATCTCTGTGCTAATGTGGTATGACAACTTGAACTTATGTACGTAGGCACGAAGTTCTACATTGCAACTGACTGACTGACTGACTGACTGAACTTTACACATAATAATCCACATTGAACAAAATTAAAACATATATACAATAATGGGCACCAACTAGGACCACTACTCATCGGTCAAATTTAAAAAAATTAGCAGACAAAAAATGGTATAAACGAACGGAAATGAAACACATTCAACACTTCAACTCCTCTTAAACTAGCTTGTATTTTTAAATACACATTCTCGTGTACATCAATAGTAATAATAACGGTTGAAGCTTTCGGAACAGTAAAATATGCAAATTTTCATGGATAAGGACGAATAGAGTGTGATTGTTGTTGTTGTGTTGTGGTGGTGGATGTTGCACATTGTAGGTTGATGACAACAATGACGGTGACCAACTTGAAGATTTCAATTTATCAACAGCAGATGTTACTGAACTTGATTCTTTCTCATCGTTCACTGCACTTTCAACTGGAACTCAAGTAACTTGATCAGATTTTCATTGACAGTTTATCAAAGCTGC